TTATTTGTGGATTTTTTCAATAAATACACATTTGGCCCTCTGTATCCCCAGGTTTCACATCCACGGATTTTGGTAACCATGGGGGTACTGGAACCAGTTCCCCATGGATACCAAGGGATGACTAGTCAAGTTTCTGGGGAGTCACAAGTTATACATAGATTTTCAGCTGCACGTGGGGCCTGTGCCCCTAACTGCTGTGTTCAAGGGTTAACTGTACTTGCATCCATAGTGAATATACAGTTTTAAATTTCAGGGGGGAGGTTTTTGTTTTTTAAAAAAATGGTTTTTGTTTTTCCATAAAAGTAATGTAGCTTCAATATAGTAGTTTTAGAAAAATAGAGAAAAGCAACACAGATCCCCACCAGTCTAACATGTCAACTGTAAGCGTTTTGCATCGTTCCTTCTATTTATTGTTTATAAATTGTAGCTGTAATAGTGTATGTACACATTTATTATACATGTTAAAGTTTATCACAAGCTTTATTTCCATGCTGTTTTACATTCGTATAACATTTGAGTGAATGGGCCATTGTTTGTTATTTTGGGACACATTTGCCTCTTCTTTAAGAAGGGAGGAGCGTTCTCCTTAAGTGGCAGGCTTACCCACCTTGCTTCTGCCCATGTGGGACATTTCTCACTATCTGCCCCACATGCCAAGGCATGAACCAGCATGTTTAGTCAAGAGAAAACATTGGAGTAGCCCCACTGTCTTGTTTGGTGATCAAGGAAGCTCGGGAGGGCTTGTGTGGTGGTTTTGAGCAGGCCCTTAGCTGCAGTCCCAGGAGGGACTAACAGGCTGGGAGATAAAGAGTTTTGACCTAATCACACAACTGGGGCAGGGTACGTGGTTCATTCTTAGAGTAATCTTGTAACCAGCGCACCTGCTCCCAGCTGCTTGTCTTGGGAGGGATGGAGGGAGGCTGGCAGACACCCAAAGGTAAATATTAATAATAGAGCGATTTATTATGAGAAGACGCCCCCAGAGACAGGGTGTAGAAATGAAGATTGCTCCATCTCTGGAGAAAACTGCTTCCTCAGTGAGTGTCCAAATCTCTCTGGCCTTAGCACATACAGATGATCAGCAGCTGCTCTGGAAGAGGGGCCGTGGGCAGCAGAGACCCAAGCCTTGTTCAGATGCCGGGGTTTAGCCCTGGCCCTGGCCTCAACCAACTACCTTCTCCTTCTGTGCTTGGCATTTCTCTTGTCCGATAGTACCTGTTGGAAGACTTGTGAGCATCAGCAAGAGACTGAAATCAGGTGGTGATGTGTGAATAGCCAGGAGCTCCCGTAACTGTGCTCTGTAGAGCTGTAGAATATTGTGCTGATACCACCAGGCGTCCGGCCCTTGTGGCGCATACAACCTGGAGGACGCCTTCCTCCAGTGGCCCTTGCTTCCTGCCACATCATTCTCCCCTCCAAGCTCAGTCTTCTAGCTTCTCTCTGGTCTTACCATGGAGGTGTCATGAATGTCTCTGGTCCATGCAGCAGGAAGGATGATAGTCAGACAAGAAGGTGGTGGGTGACCAGAGGCTCTGTTAGGGTAGAACCGAAGGGACGGGCCGATGCGGAACCTCCTTCATAGCCATGCTGTCCGGGAAGGCCCGTGAGCATTGGAAGTGAATCGCAAAGGTCCGAAAGGGAAATTTACAGGAAAGCAGTGGCATCCACTCTCTCCCCTAAGGGACATTGGGAGGAGGGAGTTTGCCTGTCTGGCCTGGACGTCAGAGACACCACGCTAAGTTCTGACTCCCCCATGCTGGTTTTCCGATGATGTCTGTTTCAGCTCTGGGCCCTGACATTTTGTGGAACAGGCTCCCTCATCGAAAGATCTGGTTGGCAGGGCCACAGATCAGGACAGTAAGCAGGGGAAATAGCCAGGATTTCCATTTTGGGGAACTGCGGTCATGGAAGAGGGCAGCCCCTCCCTCACTTGTCTGTGGCCTCTCCGAGCCCCTGCATTGCTTTGATGTGGGGGGCTCAGTGGTTCGTCCGGGGGCAGGGTGCCCTGCTCACCCCACCCACCCCCAGCTGAGTGCCATCTCCTTTCCAACCTCCAGATCATCGACCCCAAGATGCCCCGGGAGGGCCTCCTGCACAATGGCGTCCCCATCCCTGTCCCCCCACTGGATGTGCTGAAACTGGGAGAGCAGAAACAGGCCGAGGCTGGAGAGAAGCTCTTCCTTGTCCTCTTTTTTGACAACAAGCGCACCTGGTGAGTGGGTGCTGCTGCCGGGGAGGGTGTGCCAGGGTGCAGGCTAAGGAGCCTGAGCGGGAGGCTGTGCAAGTGCCGACAGGCTGGAGAGACACACGGGCTGTGCACTCAGTCACCCTGCCTCCACCCAGGTGAGGGTGAGGTGTCGCCTGCCAGCAGCTGGCCTGCGCTTGCCAAGTTATAGTAACTTAGTGTTACTAACAACACTGATTGATCGTGTTAATAGTCACTGAGATCACATTCCCTGGGACACACTCTGAGATGGAAATTTGATTCAAAGGCGTTCTGGGGAGAGTTGTGGAATGGGGGATGCAGTGTTGGGCAGAAGAACAGGTTGAACCACAGTGCACTTGCTTCAGTGCACTTGCTTCAGAGCCCGCTGCTGATCTGTGGGGGGCTCATTATCAATGTCAGAAAGTGGGGATGTGCCTTTGTACCCCCATCCACTAGTCAGTGAATGCTGGCTGCCCCGGGGAGTGGATGGCCTTGGGCCAGGTGGCTCCCTTGGTGGAGAGTGATTCCTGGAGAGAACTCAGCGGAGAGCCTGTCAGCTGCCAGCACATCCAGCGGGCGCCAGAATGCAGGCGTCAGTCCTGGGGCGGGGTTCGGGGCCCCGCAGGGCCCACTGCAAGGGGCCTGCTTGCTCCTGTTTACGAGCTCCTGACAGTTTATCTTAGCACCAGCGGGAGCATTCCTCCACCTCCGCTGCTGCAGAATAAGGACGTAGTACCAGCTAATAGAAACGATGATTACTAATAACAGCTACCATTTCTTAAATGTTTACTGTGTCCTTATGTAAATTACTTTACTTATGTGACCTCATGTAATCCTCATTTAAATATTCATTGATCCCCTCCCAATCCATTTTGCAGATGAGGAAGCTGAGGCTTAGAAAGCCAACAGCCCGTAGTCAGAACTGGGCTGCAAACCAAGATCTGGCTCTGAAGCCTGGGCTCTTAGCTACATTAGCTTCACCTGGGAATATTTTTTTTAAAAAACACCAGCTGCAGGCCCCACCCAAGATCAGTTCATGATGCCTGGCATCAGCCCCACTCCCCAGCCCTAGCTCCCTGATTCTCCAAGGTAGACGAGGCTCAGCCCTGCCATGGCCCAGCCAGGCCCAGAGGGCAGCCCATAGGCCTCGCTTGGCTCCTGGTCCTGACAACCCCCCAGCAGACCGAGCACCCTGGGGCCCAGGGCAGGGCCTGACTGCAGCACAGGTCCCTTGGTGGCCTCCTGTCTGGGGCGTCCCAGCCTGCCTCCCTCTGCCTGTCCCCTCCCCTTGGCTCTGCTGGGCCTGGGCAGTGGGCCCTGGGCAGCACCCTTGTGGGACCAGCCCATTATGGCCCAGGCCCCTTACGGCGCTTGTATTCCAGGCAGTGGCTTCCGAGGGACAAAGTCCTGCCGCTGGGTGTGGAGGACACGGTGGACAAGCTGAAGATGCTGGAAGGCCGCAAGACCAGCATTCGCAAGTCGGTGCAGGTGGCCTACGATCGCGCGATGATCCACCTGAGCCGGGTCCGCGGGCCCCACTCCTTTGTCACCTCCAGCTACCTGTAGGAGTGGGGCCTGGCCTGTGCCTGCCCTGCCTCTGTCCCCAGGGACACAGAAAAGCTTCTCCCTGCCCCCGGCCACACGTATGGCCGGCAGCTTCCCCCTTTCATAGCAGGCCAGGGACCGGGCTGTATCCTTTCTGAGGGCGAGGCCCAGTTGTGACCAGCTGCATGGTTCCACTGGCGGGCCTGCTGTGTGCCAAAAACTCCCCCGTGAGCTCCCTCAGGGGCTAGTCCATGGAAGAGCCAGTTAGAAGTAGAAACAGCTGTGAGGCCCGGCGAGGCGATGGGCCTGGCCCCGGAAGGCAAGGCGTCCTGGGCTCTTTTTCAAGGGCGTGCCCGGCCCCTCCACCCCACTCCCACTTAACTACACCTCAGGGCGAGCGAGGCTCTGCCATTGTCCCCAGAGGCGCTGTGGATACTCGGTCCCATGGGGAATCTCACTGAGCTCACCCTNTATTTAACTTTATTGGGAGGACAGTGTGTTTTTCTAGGACCCATCAGCTCCAAGTCTAGTCGTTGTCCTTCAATCTTAGTTATGGGGGGCACAGCCCACCATCCCATGCGGGAGTCAAACCAGCAACCTTGTTGCTAAGAGCACGCGCTCTAACCAACTGAGCCACCCGGCTGCCTATAAATACAAATATTCCATAGATACCCTCCCCTGCTTTTTTGAACAGATAATAACATCCTATAGTAGTGTTTAGCACCCGTTTTTTCTTTTTTCACTTAGTATTTACAGGCAGTCTTTCCATGTCAGTTCACAAAGAGCTTTTCCTTTTCATATAGTCACTCCCTCTTCTTTGGGGTGGGTGTGTAGGGGCTTCTGAACTTACGCAGCTATCCACCCTTCTACAGTGAACAGCTTTGGCCTCAGGTCATTTTGCTTGAGCAGGAACAGCTGTGAGATAACTGCTGACCACACTCGGCACCTTTCATTATATTTTCCCCAAACTTGCTCATAGACTTAACCATAAAAATACTTCTTCCTTCTGTAATCGGAACCCCCTCCCCCAACACTTTCTCCCATAACCTCTGGCTCTCTGGGTATATGAGGTGTGATCAATAAATACAGTGAATATTTAAATTAAAAATATTTATTATAGTAAAAGACACATTGCCATTAATCCCCCTCAAACTGCTCTCACTGGCTTTGAACACACTCATCCCATCGTTCTTGCCACTTTCTGAAGCAGTTCTGGGAGTCCTCTTTCATGAGTGTTTTTAGTTGCACTGTCATGGCTGCCTTGCAGTTCTGAATCGATTCAAAACGTTTACTTTTCATGGTCATTTTGACTTTGGGGAAGAGCCAGAAGTAGCACGGTGCCAGATCTGGTGAATAAGGTGGATGAGGACACACCATAATGTTTTGTTTGTTTGTTTGTTTGTTTTTTATTGGGGAATTGGGGGATGGGAACAGGGCTGGGGAATTGGGGGATGGGAACAGACAAGTTGCTGTCGTTTTTTGTTCTTCAGTCTAGTTGTGGAGGACGTTGCTTCACTGGCCCAAGTTGGCACCATCATTGCGCTCTTCCCAGNCCCCCGCCACCATCACCCATTCTTAGCCCTCGTCCCCGTCCCACATTCTGCTCCTCTGCCCACTGTTTTTCCCGTGTTCTCTTCCTTGCTTTCTCTTGTGCCAAACTGACAGAAACCATCCCCAAACTGCTCTTTTTCTTTTTATGGCTCATTCCCTTTGAGGCCAGCTGCTATGCTAGGTGGGTGCCTCCGCCTGGCCCCTCAGGGCGGAGCAGAGGCCAGCGTACCCCTTGGGTGACCCTGCCCCCCGCCTTCTCCCCACCCGCCGACCTTCACATCTGCAGACACCCAGCTGAAGCCAGGCTGTGAGAGCTTGCCCCCTTGGGTTGAGGCTGGGCCCCTCCTGCCCGCTCCCTGTCTTGCCAAGAGGCGGGCTGAGGCTGAGCGGGCTCCTGTCAGCAGACCAGGCTGGACACGTGAGTGTCGCTCTGTCCACTGGATGTTGAGGGTGGTGGGGGCGGAGCTGGGTCTGCCTCTTCAGCCCTCCTCTCCTCCCCTCCCCTCCCCTCGCGTGGGCTTCCCCCTGTCTGCATCTGCCACCTCCAGCCTCCGTCTCCACCACGGGCGGCGTGGTTCTCTGCCTGCCCAGCCTCTGGTGCTCCTGCTTCCAAACTCCAGGAGCCTGACACTTTTATTTCAAACCCTCTGCCCGCTCCTTTCTTTTCCTTCCACCCTCTCCCCACCATCACCTTCTCAAAAATGGAAGGAAAAAAAAAACTGTGAAATGGGGAATGTTGACTGACAAACCACCACAACTTTCAGAGGCTTCGATGTCTGTTCTCTGGATGTTTCTTTTCACCTCTTAAGCACCAAAGTTGCAGGGCCAGGTCACAGGCCACTGAGTACCATGTTGCTTTTTAACCTGATGTCCTTTTTAATTGTTTTAAATTTTTCATAGGGGAGTTTTGGACAAAACAAGTCACTGGGGAGATCACTGCCATTTTTACACACGAGTTTTTAAAAATACAACCAACCAACCACCACAACTTCTTATACGTTTGGGACAAGAGCCAGAGTTTTAAAGGGAACCAACAAAACTCTCTAACATAAAGGATGGGGTTTTGGATTTTATACAATACTAAAAATACAATACAACATATGGCTAGGGAAGGACATGGTGTATATAATTGTAAAATATTGTTCTAAATTATTCAGGCCTATAGTTTCCATTACTGGAGTCCTCCATTGCGTGGCTGAGTATTTTAAATGCACACAATGTGGTTTATTTAAAGGAGCCAATGCACCCCCACTCCCCAGGTAGTCGGTCGGCTGTGGACTCTGTGACCTTTGTCTCAACCTGTGTTGTAAGATCTCGGGGCTTTCTCTCTTTTCTCTTTCTGTGTCTGTCTCTTCCCCCCGCCCCCCAACACTTTCTCTCTTAGTGTCTCTCTCTCTCTCTCTCTCCCACTCTCTCTCTCTCTCTGTCCTCAGTGTCTTTGAATCTTTCAGTCTCTCTGAGTCTCATTTTTAAAACTGCTCTTTTAGAACGGGAAACGGCTCAGATCCTGCTGTGGCATGGGGCCTGCGTGTCTCAGTCGCATCTGCTGTGAAGCACACGATGCTCTATTTATTGTAGAAAGTGACTTTATTTGCTTTCTAGAATTGTTTATAACAGATGGTATAAGAGAGGTAATAAACAGAGAAAACTCTATGCTTGTAAAGAATACAGAAGTTAATTTTACCTACTATAATATGACTGTCTGAAACTTATTTTCTCTCTGAGAAATAAATGTTCTAATGGGCAGCAGTTGCTGTGTCTGGTGTCATCCGTGGGGGCCCCTCTGTTCCTAATTTCCTACAGCCAACTCCCTCCTCAAAAGCCCAGGGTGGTTTTTGTAGGGGACTGTCTAGCTGTTGCAGGCTCCCAGCTGGAGAGGGCTCTGTCTGTCTATCTGCCTGCCTGTCTGTCTCTTGGACCCCTGGGAGGAGTATGAAGATGGGCCCAGACACTGCTTCCCTCCCAAACAGCACTGCCTCATGGGAGCTATGGAAGGTCCAGCCTACCTCCCATGCCTCGGCTTCTCTGTAGCTGTTCCTTTAGGAGCAACTGCTCCTCATTTCATGGCAGAAGTGGCCCTGGGGACATCTCTGGCACTGTTTACCAAGCTTGCAGAATTCGACTCTAGGATGCTCGTACCTTATTCGACATCGTCTCTGTGCCCTTTAGGGGTCCTTGAGCCTGTTGGGTCTTCATTTTGCAAATGAGGAAACTGACCAAGATTAATCAGCCAGACAAGAAATGGCAGAATCCTGGGACAAGGATCTGGCCAAGGCTTTCCTCATGGGCTCCACACGTTTCAAGGCTGTCCTGTACCTTTCCTCCTTTCTCTCAGTGGCTGTGGTTCCATCATTTCTGGGAAGGCACATCTTGAAGAGCAGAATCAGACAGAGGGTTCCCAGGGACCAACGAACTGCTGGGTTGCGGGGCCTCGGGTAGCTTTCCCGTCCCCTCCCCTCCCCTCCCCCATTCTCTCTGTCCCTGCCTGGCTCCTTGGCTCCTCAGTGGTATGGCCAGAGCACACAGGTGTCTCCTGATCACCTCCACGGGACCTTTGAAATTCTTGTCACCAAAGTCCCTAAAGTGTGAACTTTCTCAGTTTGGTATAACATTAGCTGAGCCCTCCAGTGCTGACAGCCCTGGTATTAGGTGTTGGGAGAGCAGAGCTACACACCAAGCTGGCTACATTGGGGACAACTCTGAACAGGCAGGCGTGAGGCTCCCAGAACGGGGCGGAGTTTGGGAGAGAGACATCATGGCTCTGTTGGAAGAACAAAAGCTTTCAGAAGAATGAAGCAATCAGTTCAAGCCTTGAAAATTGACGTCAAAAATCCCTATTTATAAGTTTATATTTTGAATTGCAAAGGCAATTTGGAGCCAACTTACATGCTCACCCTATAAAACATCTTGCAGACACAGTAGAGAAAAAATGACCCAATGGGCAGGATTTTATTAGGCTAGGATAAAGAGAAGGCAGTGTAAATAGATGACGTGGCTTAAGCAAAGGCGGGGCTCAGGGATGTACGGAGCGTGTTCCAACTAACGACGAACCACCATTCCATCGGGAAGCCACTGAGGTTGCCAGGCAGTGGCCGGGATTATGAACCCTGTCACCCACTGCCTGTGTGACCTCAAGCATGGTCCTCGACCTCTCTGAGCCTCTCAGAGGCTGACTTACTAGAAGACCCTGAAGCCAGGGTGAGGCATTAGTGATGGTAGGCGGCAGCATCCATGGAAGGATTAAACGGGGAAGGGACTTGATTGGCACTTGGCAACTAGATATCAGAGTCAAAACGAAGGAATGTTACCACGGGGTTGCCGGGTGGCTGGAGGGATCCGTAGACGGTTTTGGGGGGAAAGGAGGAGGGAAATGGATTCTCCAAAACGGGGCAGAAGTTCCTGCCTCGCTGTGTGCTGGGGAAGAGGGGCTGGAGAGATGTGTGTCTGGTCTGCCAGAGCTGGAGGGGAGCTTCAGTTCTACTTTGGGTGGGGTGTCCTTTGCTTACCCTTTCCTTTAGAGGGTGCCAGAGGGCACTAGGGGGTGGAAAGAAAAAAAAAAATATATATATATATATATATATAAAACATGTTAATATATTTATATTTCTATATATGAAAGGTCAGACAATTAAGTTCGTGAACTTTTCACCATGTAAACGTACGGTGGAAAGTTCATGAACTTAATTGCCTGATTTTGTATGTTAGTGTTCTCTACAATTTTAACATTCTTAAGAGGGCCGGGACTCACAGTCTATGTGGAATAGAAAGAGCTAATTGTCTGCCATTGATCATACTGTATTGCATATTTGAAAGCAGCTCAGAGGGTAGTAAATCTTAGTGTTCATCACGAGAAAAAAATTATATGTAAGGTGACAAATGTTAACTAGATTTATTATGTTGATCATTTTGCAAT